AACGCCTGCCCTCGGGCTGGTCGGGCCGGGCCTGTGCGCGCTGTGGTGCGGCTGAGCCGCGGGACTCTCACCCCGGCCGGGGGATGCGCTTGACGCCTCGGGGCGTTGCAGTTCTCTTGATCGCCTCGAGTCCCGGCGCGTCCCGGTGACTTGTTAGAACACACAAAGTCACACCTGAAGTTAGGAGCCCTGCACTAGTATGTGCTTTATTTTGCATGTTTTGTTTTCCGTCTTTGTCCTGGTTTTGCCTCAGATTTTTTGCCTAGTTTTTCAGTGGTTGCATTAACAAGGCATAGGCATCATGAGGTGAAGGTCTCTCATTTCTGAGGTGTCCCTGAGTATTAATGGGGCGTGGAATTGGAACAGTTGTATATCATTTGGTTTAATTCTGTTTCAGCTGAGATTCTGAACTTTCGTTTGAAAACTTTGTGTGTTCACACAGCAAGGGAATCTGTACACTACCAGTGAATCCCTGGACTTTGAAGCAGAGCAAGTTCTAGAATGAAGCTCACGACGATCAGCATCCACACATCAGTATCAATTGTAAATGTCAGTTTAGAGGTCAGGGCTTCTTCCTTTGCACTGCTGTCAGTTGAACCATTAGAGCTGCATGCTAGGACATAATAGTGCTTTTTCTTACCTGAATTACTCCACATTACCTTTGAACTTTAGACAGGCAAAGTATATGTGGTCAGAGTTCTGCCAGGACATCCCAGCAGAACTGAAATGTGCAGAGTGTGGTGTGTGTGGCATGTGGCAGAGGCAGTTGTAGTAAGATCTGTTTGTATTAGGAGTGTCAGGTGATGATGTTTGTTCCAGGCTTGTCCTTTGGCACTGAATCCTCTGTGTTGGAGGCACAGACAGTTGTGGTGTGCAAAGCCCTGACCAGCAGTCCATGTCTGACAGACAGATGTTGGGCTTTGCTGTGCTGAGCAACAAGCTCTTGAGTTGCTCTGTGGGCAGTGGTTAAAACAGGTATTCTTCAAAGAGACCAAAGCACCATGTGTTGCCATGGCTGTTGGGAGAAGGATGGATGTGTAAGTAAAACACGTGGTATGTTGGACATAGCCAGACTCTGTGTTACTCATTCCATGGAAAGAAGAATCACATCTGAAGTGCTCTTAATGTGTTCTGTCCAGTAATGAGGCAACAGTACTACACTTCATGGCTGTGGTACAGAGTATAATAGGTGTGAAATTAATTCCATGGAGCTTGAGGTTGGGAGGAGGTGTTGAATGTGACACCAAATTGTGAGCTGAGACCGGTGCTGCGAAGTAGGAAATGCTGCACCATTTTCTCTCTATTGCTATCACACAACTGCAGTTGTCTTAAAGTAAAACACGTTTCAGGTGATCTTACAATCACAAACTGCAGTACCAGCTCTCCAAGTGCTAAGGAGACCTCTAAGAATTCTGCTGATGACAAAGTTTTGGTAGTAATACATTCTGAGCTGCTGTTGCCATCTGCTCATGCACCTTCAGGCATTATGCTGTGCTCTCAAGGTTTTGTTTATCATCACGAAATGTGCAATGTTGTTGTTTTGTTACCTTAAAGACGTGGTTCTCTAAGTCCTTTCCTCCGTCAGCTGGTCTTTGGCTACAGAGCACTGGGATTATGAGGCCCTTGGTACAATCAACACAGAGCTGCTGTGTTTCTCAGTGTTTTGCTCCAAGTGGAAGATTAGTCCCTGCTGCTTTCTTGAAATAGTTGAAAATAGTTTTTTCATCATTGGAATCATGTGCCTTCATATATTGGATCATTTCTGTGGCTGACTTTAGAATGTGTTTGTATGCTTCACTTTTATTGATTGGAGAGGAAGTTGAATCATAGAATGTTAAGGAGTTGGAATGGGCCTTAAAGGTCATCTGGTCCCAATCCCCTGCCCTGGGCTGGACACCTCCCACCAGAGCAGGTTGTTCAAGGCCTTATCCAACCTGGCTGTGAACACTGCCAGGGTTGGGGCAGCCACAGCCTCCCTGGGCAACCTGTGCCAGTGTCTCACCACCCTCACAGGAAAAAACTTATTCCTAATACCTAATCTAAATTTCCCCTCTTGGAATCTATCCCCATTATTTCTTGTCCTATTGCTACAGTTCCTAACAAAGAGTTCCTCTCCAGCTTCCGTGTAGACCCTTCAGATCCTGGAAGGTTGCTATATATACAACCTTCTCTTCTCCAGGCTGAACAGCCCCAACTCCCTCAGGCTGTCTTCATAGTGGAAATGCTCCAGTCCTTAGCAACTTTGTGGCCTCCTCTGGACTTGCTCCAACAGTTCAATGTCCTTCTTACGTTGAGGACACCAGCACTGCTTGCAGTATTCCAGGGTAGTAAGTACTCCAGGGAAGTCTTAAGATAATGTGTGTGTATATATATACAAGTCTGGATCACCTACTGTTGATGTTACATTTGCTCTGCATTCAGAGCTGGACATCTTGCCTTTTGCTTCTGCTGTTGTTTTGAGCTTCTGGAAGGCCTTAAACATATTGCAGTAGAGATTTATTGGTTTGGAGTACCTGAGATGGGAAGGATGTGTGGTGTTTGTTGTTCTGAGTCCATATGTGGTATTGAGCTGGTGCTGTGCTTCATCCTGGAGGTTCTGTGGGCTTCAGTGACAGGTAAAATTAACACTGTAGGTGTTGTACACATATAGCTGTATTGATGTATTTGCATCTTCACTGCTGATGAGGTGAGAGAAGGAGGAAATTTCAGTTTGAGTATTAAATCCCAGGATTGGAAAAGCTGGCAGGGGAGGAGCTCTGACATCATTTATTACAAAATAATGAAGGGTGGTATGGAGATGGGTGTTCTGCAGTGCCAGTTTTCTTTTCTCTTGTTTATTACCTCTTTCTTTATTACCTTTAAACCCCAGGTTTAATTTTAAATACAGGGTTTTTTTTTTTTGGATTGATTGTTTCCAAAATGAATGATCCAGGATATTTTGCATTCCATGTTTTTCTCTCCACTCTACCTGTAGGCTATCTGTAAAAACTAAGCAAGAGGGAAAGCATGTAGCAGGATATTTCTGGCAACATGGAATGTGCCTGGGGGAAGGAATGTGTGGAGAAGAACAATACTTCGATTAACCAAAATATGTTGTTTTAAAGAAGCACCAAAGTTGCTTTTCAATATGCACTTACAATCTCTAATGCTTAGAGGCTGTAGAGGTTTTGGATGTGAATATGGCCTAAAGGAACATCTTGCATTCCAGGTAGTGGGGCTTGTCACTGCAAATAAGGACAAGGCTGTGTGTGTGTGGAATTTGGGCCTGTGTAAAGAGAAAGCCCTATTTAAATATTTTACCCTGCTGCTAGTGTGACGTCTGTGAAGGAAAAAGCCTGATACCAAATACTTTTGGAAGAACATCTCAATGGATGCTTTCACAGCATGTATTATGGCTAGCAGGTGGAGTAACGTTTTAATTTTGGTTATGAAGGCTCTGATGGATTCATGGGCATGTGCATGCTCCCTATATTTTCAAACAAATCCCTCTGTAGGATCAAACCCTGGGTTATCCAGTGTTTTGGTTTCTGGCACTTAAAAGCATAGCATTGCAAGTGATCCTGCAATGAAATCTAATGTAAACTTTTTGCTCCCTAAACACTTTGTTTTAGTTGGATGCCTGTTGCAAGGTGCTTCCTGAAAATTTTATAAGAAGTGTAAGAAATTTGGCTTGTAAATTTCAGCTTTATTTAAGATAAGGAAAAATGCTGTTTCCCAGAGGGGAAATAAGCATGCAGATGAAAGGTGTGGTTTTAAGAGATTCTCCAAGCTACAAAAAGCATGGGAATAAGCTTGAAGTTGAACCCTCAAGGATGTGCACCTTCTTGGCATATGGTGGGGAGAGTAAAGGAAAAGTGTCCTTTTCTGTTTGAGGCTAAAAGTTTTTCCTCTGCTGGAGTTTGGTAATTCAGTTGGCTTGTTTTTTCTCTCTACTGATTGTTTTACTTTTATAATTATCCTTTAGGGTGAAAAGTTTGGCCCCTTTGCAGGGGAGAAGCGAATGCCACAGGAACTGGATGAGAACACAGACTGCAGGCTCATGTGGGAAGTGAGTAGTCCAGAACGACATCATCACACCTAGCAAAATGTGTTGTCAGAATTAAGTTTTACTGTAACAAATTTTTTTTTTTTTTAACTTTTTCCCTGGCTTTAAGATACTGTAGTGATATTTTGTAGGTATTGATGCTTTTCAGTTAGGCTGTTTGGGTGGAGAGGAATTGACTTCTTTAAAACCAAAGGAATAGCAAATGGTAATTTCTTATCAATTAAGTGCAGAAGAATATCAAGATACTGATTTATGCTGATCTACAGGTCTCAGCTCACGGCTCCTCCAGCTGTAATATAAAGCATTTTCTGGTGTGGCACTTGTGCTGGGGGTTGGCAACTGCATAAGCGGAGCTCTAAAATTTTAGCAACTTTTAGTGCAGTGAGTAGCTGGGAGATGTTAAGCAAAATAAAAACCTTGTGCTGCAGGTACATGAAGGCATAATGAGTTTCAGGGCTGTTCTGTACATTTTTTATATGTATTAGGCAGCAACAGGAGTTCATACACTAGTTCTTGTAATTAGGCCCAGAACCCATTGTAGTTTCTGTCATACCTGTATTTGTCTGAAGTAAAAATCTGAGATGAGGAGGTTACACTCACTGAAAAATACTTCCAATTGCAATGTTTCCAACTTGTTACAAATGCCTTCTTTATGGTGCTTCTGTTCTGTCTTTGTCATCTTTATGCCAAGCACTTTCTATTGAATGCGTATTTAGTCCTCTTTTACACTGAGAAGGGGCTTAATTTCTTACTTTTTCACCTTCTTATGGTTAGAGATAGAACAATGAGTGTTATTTTTATCTTGTGTGGCACTGTACAAAACCCCTTTACGTTTGACATCTGGCTTAAAGCACTGTCAGTGCATTTACCGCAAAATACATGTTTATTTCAAAAAAATCTCCAGTATTAACATGGCTGAGCAGCTTATAAAAAGAACATAGTACTGATACAGCCTTAGCAGAGCCATAAATAGGGTCTGTGCACTGGAACAATGAGTGAGAGAATGCTCAAAGCCCATCTCATAAACCCCAAACTCAGTATAAGTGCGGGGAGCAGCAAAATATTCCTAGATGAGTGTTAAGTCTGTGAATCCCTGTTTTCTCTCCTTCCCTTTCTTTTCCCTTCTTTAGTCTAGGGGTGTGCCCAAAATACCTTTTCCCAGGGAAGAGGTGTGGACAATTCCCCTTTCCCCTTTGGTTATGTGCTCAGAGCAACTGAGCTCAGCTGAAAGCAAAGCAATACAATGTGCTTTTATTCCACATATTTGCTGAGCACAGGATATGTTTGTGCTCCTTGGCTCACTTTGCCTCTTCCTGATGTTTCTGCAGGTTATTTAAATCAGTAGAATACTTGAGCTAGAACAAGTGTTTCAGAAGAGGTGGTGGGTGGGTTATAGCAACGAGAAGATCTTTAAGTTTGTTGGAAAACTGTATGATTTTCCAGACTAAATGAGATTTATCTGTTTCTGTAAGACTGAAAATAAAAGGCAAATACATGTGTTTACTGATGACACTAAAATGACCCCATTGACAGCAAACCAGAAAATGAGCTTTTTATGAGGTGTTCTAAAATCATTTCATAATAACTTATTGTAACCTAGTTTTGAGAGCCTTGAAAAGATTCCTGCATACCAAATTTTATGACTTCCTGAGTGTTTTAACCCAAGTTGTTCATGTTTACTGAAGTTGATCTGGAGCTTTATAATATAATTTAAATCATGCTGAGAGTAGTCTGAAGTTGAAAGTTGAGACCAGGAATGCAGAAAGTAAGATGTTGAACAGTCCAACTAGATGGTTAGTCCAGAGCCCGTGGGAGGCACACACAGCAGCTCGCCAGGTTTGTGTGTAGTCAGCTGTACCAAAGATATTAAAAAGAACTGGTTTGAAGGTAGTTGGAGGAAGGCACACCAGAGCCTGACTTCACACTCTGATGGCAGTCAAGGAACTGCATTTTCAAATAGGACACCTTGACAAAGAAGGCTAAGTAGTAGAGGCTTGTTGTAAATCCAGCTAAAGCATCAGCATTACTGCAGTGTTTCTTGGTATGTGATGCCTGGAATCTGGCCTTCTGTTCTGTGGAATATTTTTCTGTGAGGAAGTTCACCACATGCATTTCTCGTTGTGCAGAGTAGTGCTCTGTGATGTGGTCTGTTTTGATCAAGCCATTCCTTTTTCTCTGGGACCAGCACTGTGAGTTGGCATCTTTAAGGCATCACATTGAGGCAGAATTGAATGCATTATGTTTTCTTTTGGTCTTTGGGAAAACGTGGCACCCGAAATATTTATTGAGCCCAGCAATTTTGTTAAATCAAGTTCTGAAAATATTGGAGTTTCTGCTTACATTAAACATAGCAGAATGTCATTACTCTGCCTGTAATGTGCATAGTTTTGGAGAATTCAAAGGTTTATATTTGGTCATTCAACAGATTCCAGAGAGCTGGGGCGGTGGGAAGCATTCTTGATCTTGCTGTTATCTTTGTAAAGAGATACAAGCTGAAATGGTTTGTTTATGGGTGATATGAAGAGGGGAAAAAACCCAAACCTATGTAACCATATAGGTAGGAGTGATGATAAAAAGCCAAGAAAATGTCCAAATAGCTTTGTGCTTTTTCTTTCTTTCTGTTAAAAGCCACCTGTGTGTTACCCCCAGTCCCCATGTCCCTATCTCTGACCGCATTGCCTGTTGTGATAGTGAAGTACACAGATAGTTTCTGGTGATGAATTGAGAGCTTTCTTCTTAGCATCCCACTAAGACCTTGATTAAATGCTGCTCCCTGTGTGTCTATTACTGTACTTGGCATAGCAGTTTTAGATTGTGTGTTTGCTGGAAGAGCAAGTGCTTTAAGGCAAGAAGGAAATCATCTTTAGGTATTAAAAGTTCACGGAAGTTTTTGCTTTGGAGGCTCAGATGTCCCTTTGCAAAGGGAAGATATCAGTTCAGTTGGTTTCCTTTATTGTCCCTAACCCAGGAAGTGGCATTCATTTCACTGCTGTTGGATTGTGGCAAGTGTATACTCTTGGTGATGACTTTGGCAAATGTTAAGACAGGGAGGGCTGGAAAGACTTAGTCCTCCTTCAAATGCGCTGACATACCGTGAAGAAATGTTGGTCAGGATTGGATGGAACATAATACACCACATAATGCTGAATGTTACATATTTCAGGTTTGGTTTCTGTCTATCTGCCAAAGTCATGTTTTCTTCATTGTTATATTAGAACCAAGAAAATCAGAAGTCAATCTTTCAGTGGGAGCTTATGTTTGTATTTGTTTATATGAGAAAATGAAGTGGACTTGTGTTTCTGCTACTTGACTCTCATCATTTTTGTAGTGACAAGTGTTTTCAGTTCAATAGGCTGCCTGAAAGCTAGTGAAGGCAACAGAAAATCTGCTATTGGCTGTGACCAGCTGTAGATCAGAGCTGTAATGTTTAGTATTAAGGCATGAGAAGTCAAGCACTTTAAGCTTGGTGTGTTTTGGTGGCATTTATTTATTTATTTTAAATTTTTCTTATTTCTTTGATATCTTGCCTGTAAAATGTGGTTCTGGCATAGGAAGGCTTTGGCAAACAAGACATTAAGTCTAATTATGTCCAGAGTTTCATGATAAAATAAATCTTAATTTGATGAATTTTGGTTTTGCTCTTAAGATGAATGTAATATTATAAATCTAGTTCTTAACGATGTAGTCTTTGTTTTTTGTGTGAGAAGACTACTTTTCCAGTCATTGTTCCTCAGGTATTATTTACATGTAAAATTGTTTGCTTTTCATGTTTTTGTGTGAATCTTTTGTTCAATTTTCAGCAATACTTTTGTTTTCCTCATTTCTTAGGGAAATGGTCTGGACTTGCACACAAGTCAGACATTGGTGCCCTTTCTCAACTGCAAGTTATGTCCTGGATTTTCAGTTCTGTTGAATTAATCCCCACTGGGGTAGACTTGTGGCAGTTACTGATATTTCTACCAGTTTGTTTATTTATCTAACTTTAATTGATCAACTCTGTTAAAGCTTGTTTTAGTCATCTTTATCCATGTTAAATGTATGACTTTGTATTAATTTTGGTGACTTTTGGAACCTTGATGATCTTCTGGTTTTGGTGTTGAGAGGAATCTGCTCCTGTATGTGATTGTTAACCTCACATCTCCAGCTATAGAATTTATTGAAGATGTTAGTAAGCACATGTTGGTAGGCTCAGGTGTTTGTTATAGAAGATCACACACAATTTGCTTAAGGAGGTGTGGGTATTGTTCCAGTGCATGTGAAGTTTCAGCCCTGCTTGTGGAAGCTCCATGGAATATTAGCAGAAGGCAAGGAGTGAACCTTCTGTACCCTTTTGTCTCTGACAAGGTCAGATCATGTCATGCACCAGAAGGAGCTTCATTAACATGAAAAACTGTTGCTGTATATTTTGGCTGAAGCAAAATGTCATATGTTGTCTGTGTCCCAGGACTGCTTAGTGAGTAAGCAAATGAGCAGTTGCTGCCTCAGGTTTTTTTGCAAGTGTTATTTAAATACTTTCTCCAGCTATATTAAAATGCGAGTTTGTACTCTGCAACTGAGGAAGAAGTATTGCATCTAGCTGTTTTATACTATTAGCAGTAAAAATCACATTTTCAGCTAATCAGAAAAATGCAGTGCGGAAAACATGGTTGTTTGATGAACATAAGTTGTCCAATATATAAATGTTTAGAAGATGGTTTCCAGAAAGCAGGCAATGTGTTTACTACCTTCAGTCAAGATAACCATCTGCTTACTTGCAGTGAAGAGTGTTTTTTCCTCCCTCTCTTGCCAGGTGTGCATGGTAGAGCATTTGCAATGGCACTCATGAGCATTCTGAAGTAGCATACATGACAAACTTGGGTTTATTTTGGAAATCTGGTGATAATTTCATTGCAGCATAAAAGTGTAGCAGATGGGAGTAGTGCATGTTGCTGATGGGCATTGCAGGCAGCTTAGCTTAGGCTTGTGTAGGGTTTCACATGTCAGTTTATAAAATGACTAGGGGCATGAGTTTTTTCTGAACACTTGTATAGTGACATGGTGTTGGTTCACATGGCATAATTCAAGGATGTCCTGATTGATCTTGAGGTAGAACCTCCTGTGTGGTAACAGTGAATGTCAGTGTATTTCATCTTACTATGAAGGCATTTGAATTAGTTCAGTGGCACCTTTTGTGTTGATTCTCAAGAAGATATTTTAGACACCTCAGTTTGAGGTGCTCTTGTGTCTGCTGCATGCTTTGGATGTGTGTGTGCGTTTTAGGTGGGTTTTCGTAATACATATTAGAAGTTTGGGATTCACTGCCATGGTGCTTAAAGTTGTTCATTTACCAAATGTCCTCAGTCTACTCCATGTTAAGTACAGTGTTTTTCCTGTTTTTCTTGGCTTTTCATCCTCACGTGTGTATTCAAATACAGCATTGTTTCTTTATGAGGTGAAAAAAGCAATAGAAAACACAGAATGCTTTTAGGGGATTTATCGTATTCTTTTATCAGTAGTTTCCTTGTGTTGAGACTTTGCTTTGTATTTGACATGTCTTTCTGGACTGGCAGAGTCTGAGAAAACATAATGGAGATCATTGTGTATCACTGAAGTGAATATAAGTTTTTCTCGTGTAATTTAAGGAGCAAGTAAATGTAGAAGGATTGATGAAAAGGTAGATAGTGTAATGGTGGGTTTTTATAGTAGGACCTGGACTGCTCTTCTTTCCAGCTCAGGATCTGATGGAAACCTTTATAGGGCCTACCTGATGGGCTTCTGGAACTCATAGTTTGGTAGCTCAATCACAGAGCCACTAGCTTCATTTTATTTACTCAAAGGTGCTGATTTGCAGTGTTAACCATTTTCACTTCAAGTGATGTTCTGCTCTGTGGATTTTCTGTGCAGAACTGGATGATTATTACAGTATCATAGAAAGGTTTGGGTTGCAAGGGACCTTAAAGATCATTTCTTTCCACTCTCTCTGCCATGGGTAGTGACACCTTCCACTGGACCTGGTTGCTCAGGGCCCCATCCCCAACCTGGCCTTGAACATTTCCAAGGATGGAGCAGCCACAGCCTCTCTGGGAAACCCATCGCAGTGCTTAGTGTTGGATAATATTGTTTCAGGTGCATTTAGATATGTATGTTTGACACTTTTCACTGTGGTTAATCTCTGTTTGAAAGTAGAAGATCTTTAAAGTATGAAACGTTGGCACTTTTTCATGATGTATCCTTTTTTAAGATAGGATGTTTTCCTTTGGAAAGAGCAGTAATAAATGTTGAAGACTCTTATTTGCTTGCAGAACTGCAGTATTTCTTTTTTAATCTGAGAGCAACATGCTGTCACTACCCATTATTGTAAGGGAATACAGTTTTTCCTTCCTAATGATATCCTAAATGTTTGGGTAACTGAAGCAGTCATACTTGAAGAAATATGATATTGCATTTACTGGAAACAAGTATAGCAAGAATGTGAGTGATTCAAATACAAAGCCATGAAGACAATCTGATTTTGATCTCACTTAGCTGAAATCCCTAGCTCTTAGGAAATACCTGCTTCAGATATTTCTCGTTGACAGATGAAGCAGAAAATGCATTCATTATATAAATAAATCACATGGAATAATGGTGTGGCTGTATGACCTTTCTGCATCGCTCTGTTGTCTGTATCAGTGGTGACTCAAGTGATCTATTATTTAAAATAAACAATTTTTTTGGCAGTGACAGATGTTTTTTCAACAGTGTTCTTGTGTTTCAAGGGGGAAGCATGGCTTGGTTAATATTAAGTTTTTATTGCTATTTTTCTTTTCAATGTAAGCTGGAATTTTGTCACAATTGTGGCAATTACCTGGATCTGTAGTGGTAGCCAAAAGCTCTGGATATGGAGATGATGTAACTTGTGTGCACAGTTCTTTTTTTGAAAGTGGCTTCTTAACTTAGTGGATAAAACCTGAGCAGGTTTGTTTCATCTAGAGATGAATTCACAGCTAAAGTTTTAGTACGCTATTTTGTTTGCTGAAATAATCTATTCTGACCAAATTTCAGCCAAGCATAGTTTAAGATTGACTGCTGTTCGTTGAGGGTACGTGTTTGAAATTCTTCTAGAGATGCATATAAGAAAGATATTCAAGTGAACTGTAAAATAGAATATGTGGAATGCATAAATGTAATTATATTGACCCTTGATCTGAAGATTAGATCTCTGTCCCAGGGACAAAATGGGTTTTGCCCTTGCTAAATAAACATCTCAGGTGGTAGCAGTTTCTGGCAAGATGCAAGAGAAGATGATGACTTGGAGCCTAAGACAAGAGAAGGGGGGTCTGTAAAGGAAGCCAATACCAGTTGCTGGGTTTGAGTTGCCTCCCTATTCTGAGGGGAATAAATATGCTTACAGGAGAAGGTGAACATACACCACAGCTGTGTTACCCACTGAATGTAAGATTCACTTGCTGAGCATCACTGTGCCTTAGTGCTTTACATGATGGTTGTGTGTTTGGTAAACAACTTCAATGTTGATATTTTTTCCCCATGTTTCAGGTTCGTGGGAGCAAGGGTGAGGTCCTCTATATCCTGGATGCAAGCAACCCACGCCATTCGAATTGGCTGCGATTTGTCCATGAGGCTCCATCACAGGAACAGAAGAACCTGGCAGCCATTCAGGTAGGTTTGGTGAATTCCTACCACTTGCTTCCTGTTATTGATTTAGTAATTGAATCTCCTGTTTGGTCTGTGTTTTGTAATAAAATTGCAAGATCTGAGAAAAGTAGCAAACTGCTTTCCTTTATCTACCTTTATTTTTACAAGTGAGCTCTTGTGCCTAAGTATAATACCATAAATAAGATTGATAAGATGCCAGACCAAGGAGATCCTTAGAATCTGATGTTATTTGAAAGGTTCATATTAATCCACTGAGTTGCATTGAGTCACTTGGATGCACCATTTCCCCTGGTTTAGAGTGAACAGTTTACATGAAAATAATTTCCAGAGTAGTTAACTCACAACTGTAACAACAGTTTAATTTTCTTACTACAGCATCATTCAGTTAAGCTTTTGCTTGGATGTAGTTGTTTTGTTGTCATTGTGGAAACTAAAAAGATAGCTAGATAACTACATACCTGACTGAATCAAGACTAATTATTTAGATGCCTATTGTGCTTCCTGCCAAACTCAGGTATGGGCTTAGGTGTGTGTAAAGCAGAATCATGCATTTGCTTTATCGTTTCAAATTTAATTGCTTAGTGTGTGCTTAGTGCTTCTTGCATGCCTTTTTTAAAGGATCATTTAAAGGATGGTTTGGAAAGAAAAGAGTGGCAAGAATGCTAGTCCTATAAAAAGGTCTCACAGAAAAGCATTTGGAAAAATTACAAGGAAAAATTGTAATAAAAACAGTCAGCAGGTACAAAATGATGAATAGGCTAGGGAAAGCAAATTTACAGAAACAAGTAAAAATTCACTGAATTATCCATAGGGGTTTTTAGTACCTCAAAGTCTATCATAATACAGAATATTCAGCTGGAAAAATATTCTAACCTTTGCTGGGAGCTATTACTAAAATCTGCAATCTGGTCTAAGAATACAGGAGAAGTGTCAGAATTGCTGTACTAGTTTAGCCTCGTTCTCTGTTTGGTCTCAGGTTTACATCTCAGAGGTTGTCTAGCTTGCCATGCATTACAGCACAACAGGAATAGATCAGTAGATAGGCCTGAGCCTACTATATCTCCTTTGTGTGTGGTTAGGGTGCTATACTTCAGATGAGATATAACCTGACCTCCTGGGCTGATTGTCTCCATTACATGGGTATGTGTGCTAAAGGTGTTCTGGGGTTTTTAATGAAGGGAAGTTTTTCCAGGATCCATGCTGCTCGCCCCAGCGTAGGCTGAGTAAGACGGGAGATACGTGCATGTCCATTTCCATGTACGAGCTAGCTTGAAGACAAGAAAAGCTTCCCTTAGCCCTTAGTGCCTTGCTTCCCCTTCTTTGCTTGAGAAGGGACAAGGGTCTCTTGACTCCAGCAGCACCCCCCTAAAGCTGTCTTGCTTCACCAGCTCTCCCAGGGACACCTTTTTGCTCTCCCTTTTGGGAAGGCATTGCTATTCTGATCACATCTTTCCTAGAGCTGCATACTGGTTTTGACTTTTCCCGTTCCTGTGCTTGTGGTTTTGTCTTCTCTTGCCTTGGCCTCCAAGAAATCATGTCCACGCATTTCCTGTGTTGTGGTTTCTGCCCTCACAGATATTGCCAATATTGGTTTTGCTCTGGCAAACGTGACAACCTGGAGCTGCAGGCAAAGATCAGGCAAAGGGAGTGTGCTTGTTTGGAGAGGTAGCAAAGGAGAAGTGGCAGAACAGGTAGGCTGAAGAGCTGGCTTGTTGCCAAGAAATTGGGTATAGAGGGAAGTCAGGTATCACTTTCAATGGAGTTGTGGTGGGCACAGACAGAAACTGGGTAAGGATTAGGAAGGCTGGGTTGGAGCTAGATGCTCAAGCTCTGAGGGGTGGAAAGCTTTACACTCCCTCAGGTAAGACTGTCCTGTGTTTTAAGCTTTCAGGAGTGATGACGTGTCTTATGCTTTTGGATGAAATTGTGATGGGCTGTCGATGACCCCATGTTCCCTCTGAGCCTCCTCTCATACAAAGCATGCATGAAGGTGTGTAACTTTGGAGAAGCCAAGAATCTGCATGGGCGAGTGCTTGTAGTGGAACCAAGATGAGATAGCAAGAGCTGTTGGAACAAGACAGCTGTATTTGCTGGGCAGGTCAGTGTATCTCAGCTTAAAAGACAGCTGTGCAGGCAGTGGACGAGAGAAACAAAGTTGAATAATAGTGTGAAGGGAGGTTGTGGTGCATGGCCAGCCCTTGGAGTTTTCTCCCAAGGACCACTGTGGTCTGTTGCAGGTGAGTGGAAAAGGGCCAATATGGTCTAAGCAAATGGGCAGGTGGAACAACTGCAGGTGTGTTCTTAGAAAGAGAGGATTATTGAAATTACTCCAAAGATTTCTTAATATGTTTACTGTGTCTGCAAGCATAGAGATTAATGTGCTTCTTGCAGGTGCTGCTGGTACAGGGAGAGACCTCAATTCTTTTGTGGTTTCTGGAGAACTTCCATTGTTTTCACTGAAAATGCTGCCTTGAGGAGCTACTACAGTGTGGATATATCTTGATTAATTACTGCTCCAAATACCTAACTATTAGCACTGGTTTGGCTGGAAAAGCCAAAGAAATTAGCCTTGGAGGAGAAATTAGTTGAGATTGGCACCACAGCTAATTTCTTTTCCATGCAAATGCAACTGAGAACACTCAAGCATTGACAGTCCTTAGAACTTCTTTCATTAATCTTTTTGCTAACCAAAAGTACACAGATGGGAAAGAACCAGGATGTTTTTAGACATGGAGCGATAAAATAAGCCCCAGATGCATGTGAGAGAAGTGCAGAGGTGGTGAAGATGCAGCAGTATTGATAAGAGCTTGTTTGTTGGGATTCATGCACCTGGTGTGGGTTAACCCAAATAATTACCTCTGGTTGGTGTTCTTCCAGATTTACTGCATGGGATAAGATGTGTTACGTGGTCTCATTGAAAGATGTGCTATTGGATTCTTTAATGAGTAGGTTTGGGACTTTATTTTTGTCTGGGATACATGACTTTTCCTTTTTTCTTCTTAATTTTTGGCAAGCCAGCAATAATAGGTATGTGCCTCCCTTCATAAGGTTGTCTTGCTTTTAGAATAAGATTGTCCTGAGCAGTGATGTATTGGAGGTTTATTCCAGTGGTTTTATCCTGCCCAAGTGGAGGCTGAGTGTAGAAAGACCTTTTACTTTGCCTCATGTCAGGAGTTTCAGTACATGATTCGTTTTGGGGTTAGACTCTAGTAAATTAAAGGTCTCTGCAGCTTGACAGAGGCATATGAAAACCAGCAACTTGCAGATGTATGCAGGAGTTAGGCTGCCATACTGATAGATATCTGAGCTGCAGAATAGCTCCTGAGGGGGAAAAAAAAAAAGCATAATTTTCTTTGTTTTTGGATGCTGCTGTTGAGATAAGGACAGAGAAGTGGTGCATCCTTGAAAGCAGCAGCTCTATCAAGTCCACTGAATTAAGTAGGTTTCACTCTTGTGTGACAGTATCTTGTGTAATATATAACAGACCTTCTACAGCTCAGGGAATACTACATCTCTGTTGGCAGTTGAAATTCATCTTAGTATATTACAAAAATTAAAAAATCATTATCTTGTCCTTGTTCAAGGAACCTTGTTACAAAATATATGGCTGGATGCAGTGTAAAGAAGCTTTAGTTAACTTTTCTGGATGTTCATCAGATTAGCTTTAAGATTTATGATAGAACTTGGAAGTCTTCATTGCATAAAAATGAGTCTCCTCCAGTGCTTTGGGTAGTACCTAAAGCAGTTGGTTCACATATGGCAAAGAAGAAAAAGCATCTCTGTATATGAGTTCATCAGACAGGTGGTTTGGATGTAGACCTCCCTCACTCCGCACTGTGCCAGCCGTGGTAACTTTCATTATGTTTTGTCAAAGACCAAAGTTTTTAGCTCATAGATCTATTTGGAACCTTGTTTAGTCATTGTCAAGAAGAGCTTACTATGTAGTTTGTCCTGTCATGCAGAACATGGGCTGGATCTCTGGGCTGCTGTGGATCTGGGGATCCACACTGATTTAAACCAGCAGAGGGTTTAAAGAGCATTTTCCAGATGTGCCTGCTAATTTGATTATGAAGTTAACTGACCGGGGTTGGAAGCCTTTTGGGGAGGACTGGGAATCTTAAGAGGAGAGAGAAAATAACACTATGTAAACATGCTGCTGAGATCTGGGTTACAGTTCATGCAGCCAGCTGGGGAGAGAACTAAAGGTCTGGTGGTTACCTAAATTTGGCTATTTTTATCATACTCAAATATTTCATTTTCAAGCTCTGAAGTTCTTGTCAAGCAGAGTGTGGCAGGAGAGGACGTCAGTGCCACCTTCACCTTGGTCTGAACTATGAGGGATCATATTAGCTCAGTGTACTTAAGTCTAGATTTTACTTTTTCTGACATAATTTATTGCTTCTACTCACTGTTTGCAACAGGAAGGGGAAAATATTTTCTACCTGGCTGTGGAAGACATTGAAACAGACACAGAACTTCTGATTGGGTACTTGGATAGTGACATGGAAGAAGAGGAGGAGGAGGAAGAAGTAACTATCATCCAGGAAGATGAAGACAGTGGCAACAATAAAGAAGTGCAACCAGCTGGTGAAAAAATTGCAGGTAAGCACTATGTAAAAACTGGGATAACTTGAGAGCTTAAGAGTAGAAATGAAGAAAGAGAACACTTAAGTGTATAGGGTTGGGGAACTGGAAGGTTCCCCGGGTTTAATCTGAACTCTTGCATGATTTTGCACTTTATTTGAGTGGAAGTTCTTTACTTAATAAAGAGCAGCTAGTGAAATGTGTGAGCCTAATTTCTGAACTAAAGACAAGCGTTGGTTTGACCTGACATGCAGTCTTATGAGAGCTAACTTTTGGCTCTAAGAGGGACAGCTTCCTTTTTAGCTGGAAGAGAAATAAACCTTTCATAAAGCTGTTGAGCCAATCCTGAGATAAGATGTCTAAGCAAAGGAAGGTGACCTGAGCTGTCTGGAGAATTCTCAGCATCTTTGTCAGAGTAGAGACAGCCTGAATGACTAATTTGGGCCAACAGCCTGAGTCACACCCAGTTTAATACTTTGCAACCATTTTCAATAAGGTTGATGGTAATCCACTCAAGATTGGCTGTGTATAATCCGTTCAGAGACAATGCCTTTTGGGAATTTCATGATGCCATTTTGCATAATCTGCTTCTGGCAGAGAGTCTCTCTTAATGTAACCAAAATATTGCCTGAGAACTGTTCCTTTACACTGGTTTTCCCTCTAATCATGCAGATCCCCTCACCTGTAAAGAGGACCATGCATGCCCAAACTGTGAATCCAGTTTTGCCAGCCAAGAGATTTTAGCTGAACACCTTCAGACTTTGCACCAAAAACCCAGTGAGGAAAAGGAATTTAAGTGCCGAAATTGTGGAAAGAAATTCCCTGTTAAACAAGCTCTACAAAGACAGTGAGTAGAAACAGGAGTGTTTTTGCAGGGATCATTTAAATGAATTTCATTCAATCATGTATTTCTCTTGACCTAATCAGAATTTAAGCTTTAATTTTTATCCTTCTGCATTTGTACCTTTGCCGGTTACTTCAGACTTTTAATATATGTTAATTTCCCATATTTGTTGGGGAATTCAATTTGAATTGCAAAAATGTTGCTAATTTTTAATAGTTTGAAATCACACAATGTAGAGCACATCAGAGCTGCAGTTTGGTGCAAAGCTACTGGTCCCCATCAGTGGAGTATTTTGTAGTTTAGGAGATGTAATTTTTAAGCTGTGAATGTTGGTATGGAACTAAAGATTTTAGGAAAAAAAAAGAAAGGAAAACCAATGCTTCACATTTGCTTAATTAAACATTTGGGTGATACAAAAAAACCCAAATTAGGTACATGAAAGATGTGAGATTTAAGAGCACATCTTTATTGTCCTTGGGAGTGTGAATATGCAGTTTGATCACTAAAGTCATATACCTTACAGTTATACTTCTGTACAGAAACAACTGGTTTTTTGTTTTAATATACCTATTTAAATTGCAAGAAAAATATAACTTTTTATTCTGCTTTTAATTACAGGTGGTGCATTAGATGCTTAAGTGATTATAGATAGTATGTTTAATCTAACTCTCTTATATTGGAAAAAACAGACTCGTATTGTCTAGAATGCACTTAAGACTCTTGTAATAAATTGGCCTTGTCTTCATTTGAATAATGGTCACATTCCTAGAACTGGCAGCATTATATGAGGTCTGTGTTCTTTCATGGAAGTAAATAAAATTGCACGGCAGAGAAATACTTGGTGGAGGCAGTTAAATATTTTCTCTTGAGCTTAGCCATGCTCCTTCCAGCCTGTGGTGAAAGTTGAGTGTGTGGTGTACAGCTAGTTAAGTACGTTTTTACGTCACTCAAGGAAAGATCAGTGTGAAGATACAGCATTGTGATCCTGACTCCTGCTCTTTATGCATTTAGTTAGTTCCACTAAATTCCAGGAGACTTCACATATGAGAGAGATCACTCACCTAGTTCAAGATTTGTAGAGCTGTATATATGTTTTTAGCTCCTATAAGCCTGTGTAAGTTGTAGAATGTTCCCCTTATTTGTTTTTTATTGTTTTATTTGTCTTTCAGTGTACGTCACTGCACAGAGAATATCAGCCCAGGAGACTCTTCCAGAAGTTTTCAGTGCTCTGTTTGCAATACTTCCTTCAGCTCAGAATCGAGGTTTTGTGTCTGAGTTACTGGACTGCTGTCATGTCATTGCTGGCCTCCCTTTGCATGTTAACTTTCAAGCTTGTTAGTGTGTGTGAATCCTAACAGGGAAAGGAGTCAAATGCTTTCATTCCTATTTGCTGTAAGTAATGCATGAGGTGGCCTTGGAACTCTGCAGTGCAGCGTGTGTTCAGCTCAGAGTACTTGCTACGGGTCTGGTTTCTGGAGATGGTACTTGATGTGTTGCCTTCTTTCCTTTATTCACTCTCCCACACAGTTATGAGCAGCACAAGGAGGCATGCAGAGGGGATGCCAGATTCATATGCAAGGCAGATAACTGTGGGAAGAGGTTCAAGAGTAAGGATGCCCTGAAAAAACATAAAGAAAATGTTCACAGTGGTAAGAGAGTTTAATGCTTTTTCAGAGGAAAACCCCTCTAACGTGTTCCTAGCCTTAAACTTGCACATCAGAGGAAACATTGTCTTTTGTTTCTCTTTTAATGGATTCATTTGTATCAAATAGAAAATTAAGGAGTAACTAATCACAAGAGTAACTGTTCCTCTTCCCTCCGGGAGAAATTGCTGTATACCAGATGAATCATTAGTCTTCTGCAGAAAATGTAATGGGAATCTGGGGAAGTTTAAACTAGGCAAAGAATAGATGAAGCAAAATATTTCAGTAGTGAGGTAAATCAACCACTGGCATAAACTGTTACAGGAAGTGGCAAGTTCTTGATTTTTTTCTTACTTGTGCTTTCAGGACACAATGGGATGTCTTTCTGGAAGGCATGCTTCACAAATGATTAGACTTGATGAGGGGATTGCATGAAATTGTTCAGCGTCTGTTGTGCAGGAAGCCAGACCAGCCAAGCCACTGGTCCTCTTAGGCCTTAGTGTTTTTATATCTGTGCGCTGTGAATCAATAGTTTTCAAACAAACTTCACTCTGTTTTCATGGAAGGAGAAAATACTGCTCTCAGGTCCACAATGCAGATCTGTACTGGCATTCTGCTCTCTCTACATGTGCCCTCTCCAAGCCAATGGAAGATCACTATGCGTGGGGACAGCAGAATACCAGAGTGCACGGAAAACAGGCTTTACCTGATAATAACAGCACTGAGATGCTTTGTAAGATTTTCATTACATGAAATCTTTCGCCTGCCAAACTCCTGCAGTGTGCCCAAAGTCTTTCATAATAGTTCTTATAAAAGATGATCTCCTTTTTTACAATATCAGGAAGAATTTTTTTCATCCATGAGCAGTGCTATGTTTAGGGTTAGCTTTGGTAAGTTATGTAGTGTGGTGTGTGAATTCCACATTTCTCCTGAATCACTTCAGACATGACTGAGAGCAGATGCCTGGAGGATATTTTTGCTCTGCCTGCACAATGAGCAGAGGTTCTATTTTACCACTTGGGAGTCATAGAAGTCACAACTTCTGTGTCGATGTCAGTGCAGGAAGGAGAAGAACCTACTACTGTTGAGGGACACTGCTAGATTTCCTTCCTGTCTTCTGTTACCTGGAGGCAAGGGAAAGTAGAAGAGATTGTTTTATGTTGCTTATTATGCAAGGCTATGAACAGATATTCCCTGTCACCTTTCTTTCCTCTCAAAAGGTCTCATTCATGTTATTCTAAGTTGAAGGACTAAGTGTACTCCTGTACTATGTGTTTATCTGTATATATGAATAGTTGGCATCAGTTTTATGGCAGCAAATGCATATGAGCTTTGGTACTGCTTTTATACTACATGTTTAATTATTGAACCAATTGATTGACAAGGGTATGTTGTAGTAAGAGGAATCAACATCTTGTGAATTTTTTAGGAGAGCAAGAGGAGGAAAGATATAGGATGCTGGGAGTCTGTAATACTGAGCTGGAAGCTATCTAATGATTTTGTTTGTGATCCATACCTCTGTGCTTGACTAAACAGCACTCCCCTCATCTTTGTGTCCATTCTGTTTAGTGTTCAGTGTAGTATGAATGTGTTGTACATAAGCTAGGAACTATTTTGCACGGACAAGTAACTATAAAGAAAGAATTAGGTTTGTGGTGGCTCTGTCTTGTGATAAAATAGCTTTGTGGGTTACTAAAATGAATTTCTAAGGGTAAGAGGTGAACTTTATTAGATGATCTGTCACTTGTTAAAGCAGCTGTGAAAAGGAAGGGAAAATGCATCTGGTGTCTGACCTGTAGCTTGTTTTGTCATCTGGTTCTAGTACAATTTCCCTGTTTTGTTCAGTTAAAGGCTACTAATAGTATATTATTTTATATAGTAGAGTGCTTGCTGCTTTCTGAATAAAGAAAAATGGGAACTAGTGATTTTGACTTTAGTTTGGGATCTTTTTTGTCATTGCTGCACTGACTCCTGTATTGATTTCTGGAAGAAATGAACCGTTCAGTTATATGTGAGTTGTTCCTAGTTGTGAATTTTGTTCTTTGTATGGAGTTGTTGATGTATAACAAAACCTATTTGAGGGTTTTTTCCTTTATTGTTCTGATTCTCTTTGCATTCCATCAGTAACTGGTTTGTTGGACACCCACAGAGAACTCCTGATACACGACACTTTGAAGATGGCATACAAATGTAAAAATCTTATGTCAGTCAAATGACCTGTGAAAAGTCACAGGCTCAGTGGAAATATTTAGGTTCTTTCTTAGCCCTTCCTTTTTCAGATGTTGGTGGTATTTTGTTTCTGTTTCAGGAAATTCTAGGAAGAAGCTGATGTGTTCAGTGTGCAGTAAGAAATGTTCCTCAGCAGCAAATCTCCAAGAGCATCGAAAGGTCAGTAAGATGAAGGCTGACTCACAGCAGGCACTGACTTCCCTGAGATGTGAGACTGTGGTGCTTAGGTCACTTGAAAGCTGCTGTAATGCAACCCTTTGGGTAATCTCTTTCGTGGTTACAAACCCAGTGTGTTTTATTGTGGGTATTTATTTTTCTAATTGCAACTGGTGAAACAAAAAAATCTCCCTAAAGCTTTAATGCATCTTTTGCTTAATGCAAATGTATTTGTGCCTGTATCATTTGTGCATTCCAACATCAAGACAGAATTTCCTGCCATTCTTCAGCTTTCTTAAACATTAAGCTAAATCTAAAGTATGTTATGTAATGATAGCAAACATCCAGATCATGGAATAGGTTCATGAGCCTTCAGTTTTGGTAGAAAATAAAATCATTCTTCCTGCTTTTTGCCATACCAGTAAGGGTGTTATTTGCCTTGTACTTACGCAACAGCAAACTCAATTCTTTCATGTCTTTTGGTTTATGCACATAATCTTTTATAGCCAGAACAGGAGGGGTTAACAGTTTGAACGTCATCTATTGGAAATAGGGGTGTTCATATAGAAATACAGATGGACTACGAATATGAGATTCTGAATCCATTATACTCAGAGGAAGTCCCTGCAAGATTAATTTGATAAATCACTAAAACCCATGAGGTTCTGTTTTTGCAAAAAGCTACATTGTGCTGTTTATCAGATTAACTGTAAGTCTTTAATAATGCCCTGCTTATAATGTGAATCCATTGAGGATATAGATGATATCAATTAAAATATGTTGTTGCAAAGGAAATGGTGGGGCCTCTCCTTTCTAATTTTGTTTTCTCCTTGCTGGTGTTACTGCACTCTGCATTTCTTGTCTAACAGGGCTGTACTTTGCAGCTCTGCAGACCAAATTGTGGTGTGTCTGACCACATGCAATGACTGTTTTTACACATTGGTGCAGCTTTTACACATCAGACCCTGAGAATGCAAAATATCCTGATTACTGTGTCCCTTTTATTGTAATGTTTGTTTTGTTTCAGTAGCTGTAATTCTGTGCAGACACTGTGACGCACACCAATAAGCTTCTCAAATAGCATTGATCACGGCAGTTGAGCACTTGCTCATCTTAAAAATCACCATGAAGATTTTGTGCATGAAACTTTGCTGTTCTTGACTGGCTTCTCTTTTGAGATGTCCAGAAAACAGATGTTCAGGATTCACACACCTACATCAGACAGTGGGGGAGATGGCAAGTGCTAGGACTCATGCCCTCTGTTTGCTTGACTTCTTTTGCTTTTGTGGGAAGTGGGGCAGGATCCCTCATCAGCATTGCCAAAATATTTAGACAGGCAATAAAACCAGTAAGAAAATATTAGGTGAGATTTGGGAGAGAGATGATTTTCTCGTTCCCACCCATTTCCTGTCAATGTAAAGAAATAAGGGTAGAGAATAGGAAGGTAAAGTGTAACAGAAAATAAGCCCAAACTGCAGAGTGCAGTCTGACAAACACAGGATGTAAAGAGAGTGGCCGCAGGGGGATTGACATGTGGTTACTTGTTGAAGACACAGCCTTTCAAATCTGTAGCTTCTGTGTCATCTTTGATTTAAGCTAATTTTAGCTTTTGGTGTCTTATGCATTGCTTGTGCCTTAAATTGTCCAAAGATAAGCCTTCCTTAGCCATGCACAATTAAACCTTCCTGTCATCAATTTCTGTCCCTTAATCTTACCTTCTTGTTTTCCAGACTGTTGCTTGTACCATGGTAATTTTTGGTGTTACGCCTTTTAAAAAGAATATATTTTATCTCAGTAAATTCAGGGCAATGTAGAGCTGTGTATATCCACTTATTCTCTTTTGTCTTGTCCTCTCATTGTACTTTACTTCTTCTACCTGATACTTACAGTGGTCCATAATTTGAGCTGCTAATGATGTGATAGTATAAAAAAAATTCAATTCCCAGTAACACAGTTTGGGAAATGCTGTGCAGGAGCTTACAGAACACTGGGTAATAGAATGAGAAGTTTGTTGTAAGATCTCCTTTCTGCAAGTTTGTGATGTCTCCTGGCAGAGCACATGAAACACCATCTAAATTGTGTTCTGATGAATACAGCGATGAAGTAATGAACTTTAAGTAAAACACGAAGTTGAGTCACTCAGCAATAATGATAATGAGCAAGCAAGTGGGCAGTTGTCTTCACTGATGCAGGCTCTAAATGATTCCTTTTAGAGTAGAAATGTTTTGAATTTGAATTGCTCAGTGGAACTTCAAAGAGAGTACATATATGTGAGTAGCACAGGCTGCCAGGCCTCTCCACTGTTCTCTAAGTGGAAAGGGAAGAAATAGTCAAATCTCATCATCCCTGCTTTCTTTTCCCAGAATTATGCAGTCAGAACTGACAGTGCTACACTTTCAGTACCTGTAGGTAGACTGGGGGTCTATGTCTCTTTCTGGCTGTACAGCTGCGGGGTGAGTTGTAGGCAGGTCTTTTCAGTGGTGAAGCAGCTTATTCTGTTAAGAAAGCAGATTAAGAATACCTTTGAATGTAGGGCACTAAGGGTTTTTTGACTTTGGAAACACAGATTTGTGCTTTCCTGGTAAGACTAGTTTGTGCTGTTGCCCTTGTGGGTTTCTTAGCAGATTTCTTATGTGAATCTCTAAGATTCCATGAAGAGGCACAGTGTAGCACTGTCTGCTGGAGAGAAAAGGGCTGAACCAAGATGGATCCATGTTGTTTGTTCCAAGAGTTTGAGAGTGTTTGTGAAAAGCCCTCGATTCTTTCTTAGCTTTTTTAAGTTTGTAGAGCAGGACTTTCTGCAGAATTGTTGTGAGGAGAGTCACGCTTAAGTGACATAGAATCAACTGGGTTGAAAAAGACCTCACATCATCTCTGATTCCCCAACCCTCACCTTTTTTTACAGAATCAACTGGGTTGAAAAAGCCCTCACATCATCTCTGATTCCCCACCCCTCCCCTTTTTTTCCCTGCCAATTCCAAGTGTCCCAGTTGGGTTAATTTATGACATTTTCAACACTGGGCAGTGTTTTGTTCTACTGAGCAATCTGTTTTCGTTTAAGTATCAGAAGTTGTAGCTCTCAACTGCCTTTTCCATTTTTCCAGCACTTAGTCCTAGATGATGATATGTGCTGTGATGTTGAAAGTACTGTGTTTACAGCTTGAGATGCTGCTGCCTCTCCACTGTCTTGTCTCTAAAAGCTTTTAAGAGAAACAGTCCTGAAAGTTTCGTGGTACTTGGTTTTTCAAAATTCTTACAGCAGCTATGAAGTAGTTTCTATGTTATTTTTACATATGTAAAAATAGAAGGAAAGTCTCTTAAAAGTTTTTCTGCATCTGTTTTATTTAGTGCTTTCATCCTAATAATATTGTTAATGGATCTGGTTAACTTAGAGGTTATGCAAATTTGCAGTGTAGTTTTAGTGATAAGTTTTTGTTTGCAATTAGTAATTTTCATTCTGGGAGATTATGATGTTCACCAAGAAACTAGCATGGGGGAAATCACGGAATGTTCATGAGTATTAGTACAGCTACTGGCTAGCAAATGGTTACAGTCTGTTAGGGAATTGCTGTGTACATAAGATGTATGATCTTGTTTGAGACACATGTTTAATTATCATTAAACACTTGTTCTGCAGGTCCATGAGGTCTTTGAGTGTCAGGACTGTGACAAGAAATTTATTTCGGCCAACCAGCTAAAACGCCACATGATAACTCATTCAGGTAATGTACAAAATAACACAGGCCTTTATATATGTACATATGTGGGTATGTATTTAGTGTATATTGAATTTTACTTGAAATAGTTGCATATAGAAGGCTTGAAGAATTCTGTGTTGTCCTGTGCTGGTCAAGCAGATCTCATGTTCTGAGGAAACCATCTGAGCTATCCTTTCTAAGCCTTTCAAAAAATCCAAGTGTAACACTGTAGTCTTTGCCCTATTGCTGCTTTGTCAGGCTGTTTCGTTATGCTAGCTGGGTTACATGGTGCAGTTAACTGGGATGGGGCAAATGATGGCTACTTGTCTTAGAGAGGAGGTGAAAAACTGGTGGTTGAAGGTTGATATTGAAGCGAAGAGGATGGGAGCTGGTGTATCCTGTCAGACAGTGGTCTGTGGGAGCAAGGGAAACATTCATGTATATATCTGTGTATATTAGTGGACTAATTTGCAGGTAGTTTCTGGCCAGAGGAAAGCAGCTCATACTCCAGACCTTTCCACAGACCACCCACCAATGTTCTGTTGTGCCCATCCTATGCCAGCACAGTTTACTGTGAGCAGCAAGTGAGTGGCCCATCTGCAGGTTGGGCAGGATGGCACAAATTGGCTCTGCCAGGATTTCTGGTCACTGCAATCTAGTGTTTCTGTGTCCTTCACCAGCGATGAGAAACATTAACCAACACAATGGAAACACAAATGTTGTGACAAATGCGTTAGCATTTAAACAATTGCAGGTTTTGACAGCTGCACAGGCTTACAACTGAACTATTTTCTTGGTATCAGTCCACACCAAAAGCTCATTGCTTGTAACATAATCTGTATCTCAGAGGCTCCTGGCTTTCTTTTGACACTTTTGGATGAGCATCAGTGTAGCTAAGTTGCAGTCACCAGTTGAAGCATAAAGCCTTTTTGCAGAGGAACTTTTGGTTTTGGAAGCTAATATATATATTGTTAATTAAGTTTTAAAACATTTAAACTGTCATGCCCTCTTTCACATTTGTAATCTGGAAACAGAGTTTTCCTCTTTGAAGTCATTCTCTTTTGATTTAAGCTAATTAATCAGCATTCAGTTTTAGCAATGATTATTGCAAAGAATGTGCCAATTTCTTGAGATACACCATGGCTCATCTTTTGTGAAGTGACTTAACTGTCTAACATAAAGGGCATTAGATGTCTTTCTAATTGGTTTAATCTTAATTGGGTTGACTTAATTGCAGAAATCTCTCTGAGGAGATGACTGTCTCTGCCTTTCATCTTCTCCCCCTGTATAAACAGGAGATTAAATGTCCCCCACTCATTTTCTGCAGAAAAACGCCCCTACACCTGCGAGGTTTGCAATAAGTCCTTCAAACGACTTGATCAAGTGACTGCACACAAAATAATACACAGTGAAGATAAACCTTATAAGTGCAAGCTTTGTGGAAAGGGATTTGCCCACAGAAATGTTTACAAGAATCACAAGAAGGTAAAGCACTCTGCTGTTGTTGTTTACAGGTCTGCCAGCCTCAGATTTGCAGATTTTTTTTTTTATTCTTCTTTTAAGTGGTTCATCATTAAGCTCTGCCATGCTTATAAACATGGGATTAAAGTATTGGCGAATGTAGTTTTAGTGTTCTTTGTTTCATCCAAAATCTCAGGATACTAAATCAATTCTAGTGAACAAAAAAGTTAAATAAGGAGGAGCAAATTGCAGTTGCTTGGTTAAAAGCATCAAATCACATTTTTGCTTTTCTGATTTTGTTTTGTTTTGGTGGGTTTTTTTTTTGTTTTTTTTTTTTCTAAATACTATGTTACCCAGTTAAAATGTTAACTGATTCAAATTCTCTTCAATTTGTTTTTTTAATACCATAATTGAATAAAACTAAGTGTAGTCCTGTTGCAGTCATTGTTGGACTTAGCAGCAGATGCTTTCAAACCACACTGGATTTGCACTTGGTAGTATTCCCACATTAAAACAATATCAGAAGAAACAGTACCTGAAAAATAGGCTCATGAAGGGATGTTCTGCTTCTGTTGATTTAAGCTCAAATCTGCTTGGCCTAATTTCTGTAATGCCTGTCATTAGTTTTAACCTGAGGTTAAATTTTTAATGGCAAGGCTATATCCATGACTGCCATTTCAGAATTACAAGATTGTAAAAAAAAAAAAAAAATAAAAAAAAAAACCCGGGGAAAAAAACCCCAACCCTGATATACCCATACTTAGAAGTCTCTGGCAGTTTGGCTCATGTTATATGCCATCTGGGAATTTGGCACAGGATCTTTGCACCATCTCTTGCACTTTCAGCCGTAAATCATGTAAGAGCAGTAATAATGCCTCTCACAGGATGCAGTGGTGATGACTGTTGAAAACAGAAAGCAGGCAGAGCCAGCTGAAGGACAAGATTAGCTCCTGTACATGCTGTCATTGCATTTTATGCTTTAGACTTCCAGAATCTTACAAATTGGATATATTCTGAGGAAAATGTATAAAATAATATCTAGAAAGATACTTCTGTATCTTAAATGAATACTTTTTACATGTTTCCTGATGTGAATTTGATGAGTGGTAGGGAGTTTGGGTTGAAAATGGACTTCAGGATTAAGTATGCCTGAGTAAACACTTTGACCCAATTCTGTGTGTAAAGCAGCAGCACCACTAACATAAGCAAGGATTAGAGGCTCCACCTAATGCAAAAAATATTAACATTTAGGCAGATCGAGTGAGTACCTAATTTTGACAGAATTCCTTAAAGCGTGTTGGAATACTGATTTCCTGAACCTGTTTGCATGTGTAGTACTGGCTGTAAATCATCTCTGTCCTATATTGAGAGAAATAGGACAGTTTTGTTAGGAACTGCAATGATAGGACAAGGGGTAATGGGTCAAATTGAAGGTGAGGAAGTTTTTCCCTGTGAAGGTGGTGAGACACTGGCACAGGTTGCCCAGGGAGGCTGTGGCTGCCCCAGCCCTGGCAGTGTTCAAGGCCAGGTTGGATGAAGCATTAAACACCCTGCTCTGGTGGGAAGTGTCCCTGCCCAGGGCAGGGGTTTGGGACTAGATGATCTGTAAGGTCCATTCCAATCCCTAAAATTCTATGATTCTATGATATTTATTACTGTATTTACATGAAGACTACCTAAACAGCTGTATATTCACCCCTCCACATTTAGGTCTCGAAATTCACTTGCTAAAGAAAGCTAGGAATGTGTGAAACAGGAGACTGACATAGATGGCCCAAATTGCTTCTTCAGACACACTTCTCACCATTGGGTAAATAGCATCAGCAGGAGAGGTTGTAGGTAGTGGAGGGGAGTATGAATGTGTACATACAAAACCCAGTTGTAACATACAGCTCAAGGATGTGGTGGTTTGGGATGCCAAAATAGTTCAAAGTGCCATGATTTTGGTAAAGCTGCACTGCTCTTAGGGGACTAGGACAACAGCTCTTTTGCTTGTTCACAGGAATGTTGATGTGGAAATACCTTTATTGTATCTTATGCCTCTGTATGTTTCTTCAGCTTGTGTTTTTAATGATCTTTTAGCTGTGTGTTCCTTTAAGATGTCCTCCTAAGTTTCATTTACTTTTTGAAGAACATAAGTCAAACTCTGAATAGTTTCAGGGTGCTTATTTTAATTCCAGGATGCAGTTACTGGGCTAGTAGCAGGGAATTTAGACACCTGCTGTATAATAATTAAAAGCACTTAAATCAACAGCTTTTATCAGAAAACGTGCCTTAAGCTTTGATAGCAACATGCTTAAGAAAGTACTTTGGATTTTGTAGCAGGCCTATGTCCTTTGTATCTATTATAACAAATGGAAGACAATACATTTTGTGCCATTGAATTCTTGATTTGTGGTTTAGATGGAAACTTGTTGCTGTTTTTTCTGTGATTCCTTCATGAGGGTTGTGTAACCTGATTTTGAGTTGGAAGTATCAGAATAAAAATGATTCTCACAAAGTGCTTTTAAACATCCTTCGGATGTGGGTGAGTTTTGGGTCATTTCAAAGGTGCAGGAGATTAGTTCCTCACATTTCACAGGCTTTCACTGGGAGATACAGTAGAGTTGCTAAGGATATGTGTGCTCTGTTCAGTGAACCGTTTGGATCTGAACCCGAACCCAACACTTGTTATGCTCTTACAGCTGCAGATCTGAGGCAGGAACTGTAAGTCTTCCTGTGGTACCTCTCTGATCTGCTGCTCCTGCTTACAAGTAGTACACCACTCTGTGTAGGTGCATGTGCAAGCTGGCTCTGCCACTTGAGTGGAGATGTCAGTGCTGGGAAGTGTTCTGCCATGTGGAATTAGCTCAGATGTCCTCTGTGAAAGCTCAGATGATGTGACTGAGTGATCATATGAAGAATACTTTTCCATTTTTGTGACAAGGGAAGAGAATAGGATCTGAAATTAAGAGCCAACTGTAGTATGGAGTTGTGCTGGAGATAGAAGTAGTCACCTTTCATGCAGGTTAGTTTGAATGAGGGTGCATGTTCTGTGCTGTATAATGAAAATTGCCTCCATACAGGAGAAAGCAAAGTTTGTGTCCATTTGCTCCTTTGTTGCTTTGTGTAGAGGATGAGTTCAGAGCATAAAATATGAGGATATGACAGTGAGCCGAAATAGGTCAGCAGACACAGGATTTGAAAGGGTTTATGGTTAATCCAGGGTTGTTTGGTCCTGGGGAGTATAATGATTTGAAACAACTGTATTCCATCAGTTTATCTGTTGGGAATAAGTAGCCTTGGGCTGGTCTTAAGCATCCACAGATGCTGTGATAGGAAAAGCTTCCATGAAATGCTCCTTAAGAGCCCATCCTCAGTTGCTTTGATGGTAAGGCAGATGATCTTGCATGTGGCTATGCCTAGTTAGGTGTTTGCAGTGGAGTTAAGATGTACAGTTGAATATATGTATTTTGATCAAAAGACTAGGAGAACTGTCAAGGAGCTGCTAGAAAGGAGTTCTTTACAAACCTCTGTGCTCTTCAGAACTGTCACTCTAGTGGTTAGTGTTCTAAGACAAGGCATTTGTTAAATAACCAGCATGAATTTTGCGCTCGTGAAAGGTGCCAGATTGACAGCTCTGGAGACTGAACCCTTCTATTTATCCACAGAACAGGTACAGCACAGGCAGCAGCACTGCGAGATTCCCCACAGTGTCTCGGCAATATGTCTCAGCCCTGTTCTGGAGGAACCACCTGTTGAGGTGAGAAGGTAGTTCAGTCTCTTCATGTCCTGTCAATCCTTGGCCTGACTGCCGAGGCTGCCGAACAGGGTGTCAGCTCATGCCAGCTGGGATGTAAACACATAGAATCTGGACTGAAACATTCGGCAGATTTCATGTAACATGAGATATATACCTCACACTTGATGGCACAGCAGTTGCCTTCTTGCTTTCAGTGACATAGGCTGAGGTCAAGGAATTGACTTTGATTTAAACACCAATGTCCTCTTAGATACACACGGTACCAAGTCATGACAGTACTTGCAATGTATGGAGAGGCTTTGGATTCAATCTGGTTCAAGGCCCTCAGTCCCCTTTCGCTCCACAGTTGAAGGGGTAGCTATAACAGTTGTATGGTATTCTGAATAGCAGAAATAGATTATGTAAATATGTACTGTCTAATACTTGCCCGTAGTCTACAAAATTAACTCATTTACCTCATTTCCTGTGTGTTATAAAACACTTATTGTCTATTCCTTTTTTCCCCCTGGCACTGCAGCTTCTAATAAGGTCAGTAGACACCACTGCTTTCAAAACCTCCTTTCCTTTGCAAAAACAGTACGAAATTGGGTAGATAATGAATGAATCTCTACAGCCTATTATCTACAGCAGGACAGCAGTTAAATAACACTAGGAAACAGGAAAGTGCTTTGAAACTTATAGAAGTAGAATAAATCTGGATGTTTCCCAAGCTCCAGAAAAGAAATTTGCTTCAGCAACTCCACAGTTTGGGAGATTGATCCAAGCTTAGCTTTTTTATTTTATTTAAGGCTTTGAGGCTGTTTTTCAGCTGCGACAAATTTGTCTCCAGCCAACAAAAACCTCAGTACTGATGCTTCCATGGTTTGGGTTTTTTCCTACTTTATTTTTAAATACAAGAGGCTGAAACAAGGGTATGTAGGACTAGCCTCATGATTTGAGAAATTTTCTTTGCCAAATTTTAGGTACTATCTTGAGAATCAGATCAGTTTTGCCTTCAAACCTAACTGAGAAAAAAGGGTTTGGGTACATGTTTTAAAGTATTTTTTCATATTAGTAAGTACTCCAGGCCAGTGTGAGTACAGATAAAATAATGCAGCTGAGCTTGTAGAATTCCTCCCTC